ATCTTTTTCTCTTCTTTTTGAAGTAGCAAGTTTCGCGCCGTGTTTGCGGCACGACGCTGACTGCATTTAATCTTAAGTCATTTTCTTTTCTTTATTTACAATGTGTGTTCTTTCTATATAACTTGATGTAGTATCTTTGAGATGCATATTCGACAACCACTATCGATTCGTACAAAGTATCTTGAGTAGAAAATAGTAAATGCGAAATATGCCGCGCTGCAGGGAACCATGACGCCAGAATTACACACAAAATTTCGTCTTTCTTTCAAGGCCATGAGAGCTTTTTATACAGAATTAACGCTATTAATCTTCACTTCTCAACTTCAAAACAAATGAACATAACCACCACGAACACAATGATCGACATTCTACTTGACTTCGGGACATGCCATCTGGTAAACGAACTGCACCAGGGTTCTCGTGGGGCGTCCGGTCATGTAGCGCGCCGTCAGATAGGGTATGATGCCGTACATGGTCAGCAGGCCAGTGCCGCGGGTGTCGATGTGGGCCCAATCGGCACAGGGCACCAGCTCATGGAGAATGGCGGCTGCCAGGCAGGAGCTGGCCAGACCGCGGCCATCGTTGCTCAGATCGTAGCCAGTTTCGTCGGTTACCTGCTTCTTGTAGTACTGCCAGAGGGGCATGCGCCACAGGCGATCGCCCGTCAGGGATCCGGCGCGCTGGAACTGCTTCCACACGTAGTGCGAGTTGGAGAAAATGCCGGACGCACCGCCGCCGTAGGCGTTCTTCACGCCCATGCCAAGTGTGGCGACGTCGACGACGAGGCGCGGCTTGTAGGAGACCTGGCCGTAGATGAGGGGATCGGCCATCACAACGACACCGGCCTTGTCCACATCCCGGATGGCCATCGATCGAGCATTCAGCATGGTGACCACATCGCCGGGCTTCACCGACATGCCCGATGGCATGTTCTCGCACAGGGGTATGACGCAGGTGACGTTTATTGGCAGCGAGAGTGCAGCAACGCAACGCATCATGCCAATGATCGCAGCGGCCGCAGACATGCTGCCCCGGTATTCATCCATATACGTGCAGGGTCGCAGATTGATGCCACCGGAGTTGAATGTGATGCCCTTGCCGACAAACAGGATCGGCTTGTCCTCGGGCGAGGTGCCACAGTAGCTGATCTCCAGTAGCACGGGGGGCTCGCAGCTGCCCTTGGCAATCATGAGGAAGGCATGCATGCGCTGCATTTCGATCCAGTCCATGGTGCGCACCTCGACGGTGATGCCGCACGGACAGAGCGCATCCACGGTGGCCTGGGCGAACATGGTGGGCGTCATGCAATTGGCCGGCGCGTCGGAGAGGCGTCGGGCCAGGTTCTGGGACTCGGCCTTGAATACGCCACGCGTCCAGCCGTCCATGTCGCTCGAGTCGTACAGGTCCAGGCGCGGCACGACCATTCGATTCTTCTTGTGCAAGTTATCGGAGAATCGATAAACGCCGAGGGTGGCGCCCTCTGCCGCCTGCTCTGCATAGTCCATACCATCCACTGAGATAAGGTTGCAGTCCTGATGCTGCAGGGATCGTGCACCGACGCCGGCGGCYACGCGCACATTCTCCATGCCCTCGTCCAGCATCTCCAGCTCATTGAAGCCGACGCCTTCCAGACCCACGCCCACCACGGCCACAGAGGTAAAGTCGTTATCAATATTGTTGAACACACGGCCACGCCCCAGCCGACCATCCACCTTCGTCTCGCAGACGAGCTGCCTCAGCTTGCCGTTGGTGCGGTCATTGAACTTCTCGCCGGACGGCGTAAACTTTGGATCCTTGTCGCCCTCCTTCATGTAGATGCCAACCACCAGGCCCTTACCGCCACCGCCTCCGGCACTGTCACATGCAAAGCGGAGATTCATCAGGCGAGTGGCCCGCTGCAAGGTGAGAACGTTTCGTATGAACTTACGATTCATCTGCTTCATCTTGAGGATAATTTATGAAACGAAAAATTTCGAATGGAATTTTAAAATATTCAACTATTATTGCGGCACAAATAGGTGTAGCAAAAAACAAATTTTTTATTTCACAAAATAAATTTTGGCTTTTTTTTGGGTTTTTTCTGTTTTTATTATTAGGTCGAAGTCTGTTCTGTGCAGGCCAGTAACAAAAACACATCTGAAAATCAAATAACTGTAGCCCCCAAATCAAAGCGACTCTGACGAATTAATGTTGTTCATGGATAACATGATCTCAACATTTCAAATCTAAGTTCCAACTAGGGTTTTCTTCGTAGATAATAATCTTCTTAAATTAGGGGAGAATTATTCGGTTTTTTCTTTTAAGTGTTTAAAGTTGAAGAAGTAAAATATTAGGAAAATAAAATTAGAGATTTTATTGAATTTAAAAATAT